AAAAAAAAAAAAAAAAAAAAAAAAAAGCTGTATCCTCATCATCCTCATCTTTAGGGCATGTATCATGTTGGCGGAGTCCTTTCCGGTCTGGAAGACTTCAACCATGGTTAGCCAGAACCTGACACAAACTGATTTAGGGCTTTGGACTTCTATAATTACTTCCAATTGAGCAAGATTGAAGAGAGAACGGACCCTCATCACCAAGTGGAGGTCCCCGGTACTTCACCTCCCAATCAGTGACATTTAAGGTCATCTGTAAAATTTCCCCATCGAGACTAGATTATAATACGGGGCCCTCGTGTGAGTAAATTAACCAATACTCCCCGCTCTGCATACCGTTTTTTGCTCACCTACGCCTTTAGCCCGTAGTCTCCACTATTCGAGTAGGGAATGAGCCATCTCTCCAGCCGATTGGAATCCCCGTCGGACAGACGTACAATCTTTGGAAGTTTGGGCTTGTCTGGGATCCTCCCTTACATTCTTCCCCCCCCTGGTGCCAAGCTCATCCTCGAGCTTCGTTCCAGTCACTCTTCCAACGATGTCTGTGCCCAATCAAAGTCGTAGATGCCGACGGGGTATTGATGCCTCTGGTGAACGGACCCCCCCCCAGTCAGTCCACTGGAACTGTCTCCCCCTCAAGCGATTGGGACCTTTGCCAGAACTGGGGAGGCACTAAGATGGCTCATCACTATTTCTAACTATATCTGACTATTGCCCCCCTCTTCAATGTTCTGGCTTCCCTCACCTTCTCACCCCAACCACGACGCTGACCACTATCGTGAGAGATCGTCTACCTTTCCTGTCAATTGCAGTCGTTGCGCGACTGTGAGCCTCTCTGTGGGGTATCACACTCGAGGATCTCTTCTGCGTCGCATTCTCGAGTGTCTGCTTCTTGCCGTTTTGCAAGGATATGACCTCCACCCGCGATCTGTCGCATACAACACCCAACAAAGATAGATGATAGAATCCCACAACATGACGAATCAAACATTGCATGGGCTCTGCCCGGAGCCTTTCCTCCAAGAGTCTTTCTTCCCGTCCACCGGTGGATGTATGTTCCTGTCGCCTCTTGTATCATTGGTTGTTGACCGGTCATGGGCTGGGGTGGACTAATCTGTGACTCAACAGTTACCTCAGGACGGTATTGTGCGAAGCTCCCTTTAGAAGACGGTACTATTTCCTGTTGTATTCCTTGTCCATTGGCAGACTGGATCTACGGGGAGGGTAAGTAGAGGTCTCGGTTCGCAGCGCGTTCCAAAAAATTTTCTAACACGATCGACCCTCGGTAGACATCACTACAAAGGCGCAAGCTGCGAGTTGGCTGAGTGTGGCAATCTTGCCTCTCTGCATTTTCCTCCTTGTTTCGTATGCGGTTCTTCCGGCAAAATGGACGCATCGTCATTACCTGAGCATCTGTTTTACGTTGGGAATTTGTTTTATGGAGGTATGTAGTATTAGATGCCCTAAGAGCGGTGGGATGGGCTGACCCTTTAGCTTGCGTTTATTATTCCTCTTGGTGCCAAACCCGACCAGTGTTACAACGAAATTACGCCGAATGATATGCATTCGAACTTATCCTGCGCATGGTCCGGCACTTTGCTCTTATTTGGAGGCTGGGCGGTCGTAACGTGGAGTACGTTGGTGCACAGCTAAACCACTTCGGGTGTCAACTGGCTAACCGTCACAGGCTTTATCCGTACCCTTGCATTTCATCTCCAGGTCTGCTGGGAGGTGATCCTCGGCAAGAAGTTCATGTGGGGGGCTTTAATCTGCGGCTGGGCTATCCCTGGTATCGGCATAACGGTCATGCTCATTTTGACCGGGGTATCCTTCCGCTTTGGTGACGTGTGCCATATTAACATCAAGTATGGAACCAAGGATTACTGGGCGCCGGTCATGGCTTTCGCTGGGGCTTCTCTGATTCTGCAGCTCGCGACGATGGCGTACTGTATCCACGTCTACGTGAAGTCCATCTTTGACACTGCCGACTCCAGCACCAACAGCTCCCACCTGCCGTCATATACATCCAGTGTCCGTACCGTCACGGCGCGACAGGCATACCGTCGCATTCGACGAGTCCTGCAGTTACAATGGAGAGGAGTCGCCTTGGTTCTGATCATCATCGGCAACGTCATCTTCTTCGCAGTGATTTTCATCCAAGTGAACAACAAGACAAGCCTGACGCCCGAGAACCTGGAACGAGCCCAGCCCTGGCTTCTTTGCTTGGTTTCCTCGAAGGGTGACGTCAAGAAATGTCAAAGTCTGGCCCACGCCCTTGGCCCGAATGAGGCGACGATCCTGGCCCTATTGATTCTCCTGTCGCTGGTTGGGTTCTGGAACTTTATCCTGTTCGCACGCCCGGGGATGTTCCTCGGCTGGGCCGAGTTCTTCAAGACCAAGTTGGGGCGGAACCACGAGTTCGTCTCTGCAGATGCTCGTGCGAAAACCCCGGACACACGGACGTACGAGATGCTGGAGAGCTCCGCACTCGCATCCTGCAAATCGCCAGAACCAATCGTACGGTCCCCCAGCCCAGCGCGGACCAAGAGTCCAGAGGGGGGTCACTACGGACGAGAAGCGCGGTACGTGCGGCCGTCGATGAGTTTCTCCTCGCCTCGGCCACCTAGTGCATCACAAGGACGCGATTGGGATCCCCAGTCCACGTTTGCTCAGTCGAATCATCAGCACACTCTGTCCAAGTGATTTCACTGATTTCTTTTTCTTTCTTTCCCTTTTTACTTCGTTTTAATCAACGAAAAGCCCTGTACATTTCTTGTATGATGTATGATCCTATACCCTATCTGTTTCCGTGTTGCATAGCTATTTTCTGTTCTATATTAGTTTTCAATCATCTCGAATGATACTGGAAGAGACCAAAATCCGGTTCACCGTTAACCTTCATTCCTTGGAACGTATCAAACCCAAAATGACTGCAGAAACCCCAACAAAGACATAATCTGAACAAAGAGGCGGAAATCCGGACCCGATGAAACCCTCCCCCGCATTTTGGTAAGCTTCGAACCATAATTGAGGGTTGGTTCAACTAACTGACTAGTGTAGATACGTACACAGTAGTCCGATACGGGACCCTCACTAAGGGTTCCGGAGCCACACCCGTCCTCTGACCTTCCTAGACCCTCTCTTCTACACATCATCTCCAACCTAAGCCAAACACCAAAAGTTATTTCTTCATTATTAGTGAGGTAAAACATTTTTTAAAAAATAAAATAAAATAATATCACAAAAACTAAAAAAGATTAAACCTAGACTATACCACGCATTAACCCAAATCCGCCCCCCCGTAAATCCTCCCACCGGAACAACTTCACCAATCAGATCCCCTGAATAATCCCACCAGCCGCGGACCCCAGAACCATCACATGTGAAATCGACTACCCTAACTCTCCACGTTTTCCCGACGAACGTCCGCACCATGGTTTAGTTTCTTCTAGAACGGTGGTGATAGTCCTGTCATTCATGGTTCTCCCGAGGTCCCCGGGGTGGATCGACGGTTGGCTTCCAAATACCAATTGCCGTTGTTTACTACTTTCAGCTAGGATCTACTTCCGGGGATGGGGTGGTGGGTTTTTCTTTTTGTGTCGTCGTTGGAGGGACCGGTGGAGTTCGGATGAGACTTTTCTTTTGTCCACTTTTCCTCTCGTTACGGTTGCATTTAGATCATGATTACGACGCTGCCCCGTGGGGTAAGCGAACTGGGTCGTGCCTTGATGCCGTAGTGTACAGTAGTGGAGGTGAGAAGTGGAGATGAGTGTTGGGAACTTGGGACGACATGGTATGATCAGATCTGTGGCATGATCGGTTCCGGGGTATACGTGGATTTTTTTGCGGGGGATAGCGACGGATCTTTAGATCTTTGGATCTTAGTCGGCGGTGTTATTACTTATTGATTGATTGTCGATATAGGTGGTTGGTGGTATTGTGGTTGAGTTTTAATGAAAAGTGAGTAAGTACTCAGTCACGATTGAACTATATCACTGTAGGTATGTACGTACGTACATACATACATACATACATACATACATACAGTACTCCGTATACCATGGACAGTACCCAACGTCTCGACCATGTACCAAGACCTCGTTGACCTTGGCCCAACGTTGCACAGCTCGAAGTTAGATATCTCGCGTATCTGATCCGGTTGGTGAAGGCGACGGGTCTGCCTTCCGCAATGTCACTTAAGGTTCGTCCCTAGTTTAGACAGAAAACGAGAATATGAGCTTGGGCCGAGGGTTCAAAGTGGACCACGTTCACATGTCGCACGTTGATTAATTCCCACTCGATCGGCCATTGCCGACTGAATCATTACAAAACATGACGTTCTTTGTGCTTGGACTTAATTGGTGTTGGTATTGGTGGCGAATACTATACCTGTTTTCATATTATATATTGATATACCCTGGGGATAGGGTTTGATAAGGAAGTGAGCGGTCACTTGACCTGGCCCTAAAGGCTGGCATTTACTGTTTTGGGGGTAGTTTATATTAGGTTTTTGTTAACACTCTCTTACTGAAACATGACAGGGGAAGCAAGAACTTGGATACAAATTTGGGTTTCCGAGGCGTCGAGAACAAAGAACCAGGTGTCGTCTGCAGGATATCTCGATGCTTTGGTCTTTGTTGCGGTGAATCGGTATATGCTTGCCGAGCCACGGTGCACTTGCATGATCAGGTACCAGCGTTGCCATTGAGCTCCTGTCAAGCTTTGACCTCCGAAGCTCGTCAAAGAGCTACCATGGGTCATAGCGCGCGATGTATCGTGGCTTGTTAACAAAGAATCTCGCTACTGCTACCCGATATAGCACCGCGGGAAGTTTGGGGATTCGGTACTCTTCAACTTGCATGAACATCTATTCGCCCTAATGCAAGTGAGAGTGTGGTTGTTTTCAAATATCCTGACTTGTCTGCCACGACTGGTTGTATCTCGAACGTTGCCGAGTGTGACATCTTCGGTTAAGCAAATCGGTTAAACAAACAGGGCTACCAGAATGAGGTTTCACTCTCTCATGGATTCGGCTGACGTGTTGATGAAGGGAATTATGTGTTTAGCTGGCTGGGACATATTCAAGGTGTGGCTCTGTGTTCCTGTGGGAGGATATCAACCCCCCCAGACAAGAGAGCTCTCTTCTCTGGAGGATTCTTCGAACTGCCTATTGTTCGACTCTTGATGTTACCACACAAGACATCTATATCAACATTAACTTAGAGTGTAGACGGGTGTATAGAATCTCCTAGATTTCCCCGTCAATGTCCCCGAAGCCATGCCGTAGCGATCCTGCAATGAAAACCCGATGTACACAAGGACTGCGAGGATACCCGGACCATGTATCTTCAAGATAGTTAACAACTCAAAACAAACACGAAGCACCTTCACAAAGTAAGCAGCAGATGGGAGTTACAACATGATATCCTGATTATAGTGAATTGGCATGATTATATCCTATACATCCTAGATACCAATCTCCCAGCCCCGGTTCCAAGAGGCATACATCTTCACCAGTATTGTAAAGATGTATAAATTTACCAAACAAGCCTGTCCATGAAGATTGCTTGTGTCTTTCTGCGGAAGTATACCACGAGATGACCGTGTTTTGATACTAGTTTCATACTGGACTGGCCACAGCAGATGTATCGAACTAGATTGATCCAGTTGATAGTTTGTACACACCGGCATGGTGAACAGTTCTGATGCCTTTGGGGCATGAGGGTGAGATATCTCGAGGTATCTGCCTTGCGTCCCATTGGAGACATGCTGAGAACTACAAAACGTGTACATTACCTTTTGGAGATGTGCTCTAGAGACTCTTGATGGCTATCTATGTGGGACTTAAAAACAAGGGGGCTGATGGGTCAGGAGATGGGGGTATACGGCATAGAGTTGTCTACTTGAGCTTTCGTCTTCACCGATATATCTGCTGGCATAAATATTCCTTTTTCTTTTCTTTTTTCTTTTTGCGAATTTCTGGTGTTTGGTGCTGTGAAGAGACGGGGCTTGTTTTATGTTCTGGCATCCGGTCTGCAAAATGGAGTTTGTAAGGTTGGTTTGGATAGGGTATAGGTGAAACTCCTTGAGAGCAAAAATACTAGGCTAGTAGTTAATATCCCTAAGTCAAGAATACTATGTCAATGATATTCATGTTTGGGCCAGTGCTGACTTTTGAACAGCACAACCGGACCAGAACAGGATTGACTCTTCGAATCTTGCAAGCCCGCACTCAGGCACCTAGGCGTGCTTGGTCAACTCCACTAGGCTATATAGATGATTCATATATCCATCTACAGATTCAATATGATACTGTAGTGCGGTAGGGTTATCATGCTAGTCTCAAAGCGGTGCATATACTTTGTACATTCTATGCCATCTACATATTAATCTTTCCACACACCTCTATAAGAATAAAACAACTCGAATGAAATGGTTAGCGGTTCCGAAGCCGCTTTGACATCCGTCTTGTCGTCTGCGTCTCAACAATGGTCTTAACGTCCTTCTCATCACGGGGTTCGGTCTTCACCTTGCTTTCGCTCGCAGACCTCTTCACTCTTACAGCTGTAGTAGTAGTGACTTTCGTAGTAACCTCAACTTTGCGATCCTCGTCCGACTCGTCCTTGACCTTGACTTCCACTTCCTCCTTCTTCGAAGCAACCAGTCGATCCGAGAATGTTCTCAAATTAGCGGTAAATAAAACACTCTGCGCCCAACCAGCCTCCTGTCCCCAGAGTTTGCGAAAGTGGTTGCCCACAGCGTCATATGTAGCTTTTGTTAACGATTTATGGGCACCCTTGCCAAACTTGTAATCTCGCTGAGCTATTTGCCAAACTGTTTGGTAAGGGGTTAGCATTCAACAACGTCCGCAAAAGAGATAGTAATGGGAAAAGTACCGTGGGTATCAACCGGAACAGACTCCCCCCAGCCCAACCCCATCAAACAAACACAATCCGCAACCTTGGGCCCCACACCCTGCAACTCGAGCAGCTTCTCATGTGCCTCGCGATACCCCTCTCGGCCTTCCGGTCTCATCTCGCCGCCGGTCGCAGCCTCAACCCCGAGATTGGGAGACTCAGGGTTCCGCAAAGAGTCCAACCACCCTTTCTCGCGCTGCGTTGAGACAATCACTGCCGTTTGATATATGTATTTGGCACGGTATCCGAAGCCCAGACTACGCAGTCGACTCTCCACATCATCGCTGGTTAAGGCCTCGGGTGGTGGGAAATCATGGTACGCGCGGCCGTCAATAGAGGCGATGAAGGGACCATAATTGATGCAGAGCTTCTCGACCATCTGGGAGATGCGCGCGATGTTGTTGTTGCTACTGCAGATGAAGGAGACTAAAGCCTCCCATGCGTCTTGACGTAGGATGCGGATTCCGGTGAATTGAGGAGCTTTCTTCTTGAAGTTGGGGTCATTGGAGGACCAATAGGAGTAGAGGGATGTGAGGTTGGAAGCAAGATTGAAGTAATGCGTGAGGATAGGAAGGATGTCATCTTTATCGGATAGGGGGTGGTCTACAGGTTTGTCCGAGTCGGCGCGAGAGGGTGGATGTGATGAAGGTGGCGTTGGGAGAGGGATTGGGTTGGACAGTTTGGGAGGTAGGTAGGTCCTATAGTATAGATCTGTCGAGTCCTGCTTGAGAGATAGAAGGCGACCATGGAGAACACACCTCCATTCATCGCTGTCAGGTACGTTGTGCCATCTAGATCAGTTAGCCAATGCGCCGGATACGTTAGGAGAAAAAGGGGTGGCGCTCACCGGAATGACTGCCCACAACGAAGCGTCGTATTAA